TAGGAAAAGTCGTACTTGAGATGAAATTCACTAATAACACCTGGTGTTCGTATACTTTTTATCTTTAGTTACACTAAAGATATTATTTCTATAATGATATTCTTTCGATATATCTTTCCTTAGTTGGAAAAGTTATTTTGAAATAATCTTTAATATGCAACTCAGTAAATCATTAAACAATCACAGCCAATATAAATTAGCGTTGGAACGGATATATCGGAACCAAATTTGACGTTATATGGTAAAGTAAGTAACAATCCTTTTCGATGTAAAATATTCAGACATTCGGAACATAGAGACGTTTTCAGATCGGGGATTTAGTATTTTCAAAACGAGGAAACCACTTATACTTAATGGCATTCGAAAACAAAGGAACATGAATTAGTTGGGAACGCCACGACCATCCAGAAAGAAACCTGCAACAAGTCGCACCCAAGCCGTGGTAAGCAAAGTGCAATATATTGTAACATATGAGAATCAACGAACACAAAGGTCAGTGGCCAAAGCAGTCCATGTGCTCCAGGCAACAGTACGCAACGTAATTTAGAAGTTTCTCCGTCTAAAAAACCGACAGAAATCATATGTACACAAGTTACTTCCACTGCATATCCGTTCAACCATTGCTTACCACAAACAGCTGGAGAATGAAACGAGGATTCATGCTATTCCATACGCAGACATTTGGATTAAGTCACCAGACTCGGCGACAATGGGTTTCTTTGCAATCGGAATGTTGAAACGAGCGATGGAAAACGGTGGTCTTTGTACACTTGATAGATTATGTAAAACAGCAGGGAGGAGGAATGTGCTTTGGACACGGCAGCCTTACGATCGACGGAGCCTTATGCAGCTGACCTATCGCCAAGTTGCAAGTTTGTTCATTTATGTGAAATCCTATGGACATGGCAACATAGACTGAAACGGCTTGGTGAGTCTCCAAAATAGTTTTTTTTCTTTAAAATACTCAAACTCCGTACATGATGCTTTAAAGCAAATACAGCCTTATAAATGAATAATCATAAATATATGTCTTTATCAGATAAGACTAAAGCTCTAATAATTCACATAGTATAATTTTTTTTTCAAATACATGAATAATGAGAAAAAAAAATGATCATTGTTTTAGTTTATTTCCATCTTATTAAAAAAATAACTGTTTTTAAACCAGTATCAGTTTCTAACATTTTTAATATTAAACTATTTAATATCGCAAGCTCTGTAGATCTTGAAAATAATATTTTAATCATTATCAATGTCAACAAAATTGAGGAATTAACTTTATTTGTTTGTAGTTAAGCACAAAGCTACACAGTGGACTATCTGTAGTGTGCCCACCAAAGGTACCAAAACCCTATTTTTAATTTTAGAGTTATAATTTCGAAGACTTTCCGCTGTGCCACCAGGGGGAGGGGGCTTTAATAAGTACGTTATGTTGCTTGCTACAGTTTCGTTTTATACATCGAAGAATGCAGTGCAATAAAGTGTCAACTTGAAAAAAAAAACTGCCCAGTGGAAGGTTGAAAGATTGGGAAGTTTTTTTTGTTGTTGTTTTTTTTATGAGTTTCAGTTTCATAAAACATTTTTTGAGGAAGTTTCATGGTTTACATAATAAGAAGAATATTTTTTTTACTATATTCAATTCGTCTAGAGACTAAATAAATACCAGATCATCAGTATTTTGTGTATAAATATTAAAATATATGTATTCATGATCAAATTGAGTTATGCAACATCATTGATTGCTCTAGGACATCGTTTTAATATTTTTCAATACCAGGGACTGGCTAATTGCCTCCCGAATCTGTTAGGGTAAAACGAAAAGCCATTACGAGTTATATGCAAATATTCTGTCAGTTTTTTTTTTGTTTTTTGTTGTTGTTGTTGTTGTTTTTGTTTTTTTCGTATATTTGTTAGTTTGTTTTTGTGAAATCCTACGGACTGACAAGGTGGTTGAGACAGACCGACACCGGTCTGCGTACTGGTAGTTAAAAAACATTCATCTAGGACAAAGCTTGTGGTGAGAAGAACGAACGAGACACCTTCCTCAATGTTATATACTTCTGCAAAAGTTGCATTTCTTGTATTTTTAAGCGTTAAGAAGGTAATATTTGAAGGTCGTAAATAATATATCAAGAATTATTAATAGAACAGTAATACTTTAACCATATTCCTAGTAGTTTGTTCTTGTTTAATACATCTTCCTTGTTTAATGCTTTGGTTTCTCTCTTTGTTCAGTGTATTGTCCATATTCCCATCTTATTTAAATATTTGTCTTTGTTTAATGCTCTGTCCTTAATCTTATCTTGTTTAATATTTAGTCCTTGTTTGATTATTTGTCCTTATTCCTATCTTGTTTAACGATTTTTCTATATTCTTACAAAAATGTTACTTCAATCTTTTTAATGGTAACCAAGGGGTGTTTGGAAAAATTATCGCATTCAATTTGTATAACTTCACAATTAATTTTAAATACAATTTTAATTTACTATAATTTGAGGAATAATTTTTCCCACATATATTGTGTTAAAAAAAGGCAGTTTTTATTATCCAATTAAAGCCAACATCAAAGTTATGAATAGGAGTGTTTTATTTTTAGTAATCTTGGTAATATATTTTGTTATACAATCAACATAAAAATGTAATACAGCTTCAACTACTGAAGGGTTTATTTTTAGTAATCTTGGTAATTTATTTTGTTATACAATCAACATAAAAATGTAATATAGCTTCAACTACTGAAGGGTTTATTTTTAGTAATCTTGGTAATATATTTTGTTATACAATCAACATAAAAATGTAATACAGCTTCAACTACTGAAGGGTTTATTTTTAGTAATCTTGGTAATATATTTTGTTATACAATCAACATAAAAATGTAATACAGCTTCAACTACTGAAGGGTTTATTTTTAGTAATCTTGGTAATTTATTTTGTTATACGATCAACATAAAAATGTAATACAGCTTCAACTACTGAAGAGTTTATTTTTAGTAATCTTGGTAATTTATTTTGTTATACAATCAACATCAAAATGTAATACAGCTTCAACTACTGAAGAGTTTATCTTTAGTAATCTTGTTTATTTATATTGTTCTACAATCAACATAAAAATGTAATACAGCTTCAACAACTGAAGAGTTTATTTTTAGTAATCTTGGTAATATATTTTGTTATACAATCAACATAAAAATGTAATACAGCTTCAACTACTGAAGGGTTTATTTTTAGTAATCTTGATAATTTATTTTGTTATACGATCAACATAAAATGTAATACAGCTTCAACTACTGAAGGGTTTATTTTTAATAGTCTTGGTAATTTATTTTATTCTACAGTCAATATAAAAATGCAGTGCAAGGATATGAACATTGTTCTTAGGTGATGGAACTAATCAGAGTTCAATACGTTTTGCTTTTCTAAAACGTGTATAATTTTTTAATCATCTTGTTTCACCTCTATTCTAAGAAAACGTTTAATCATTTACTGAGTTTTGCTAACGTATTTGATGAGAGGTGGGAAGTTTTTCATTTTTTAACGTGTTTCTAAAAGTAGGTGTTTATTAGTGTTAAAGTGGAAGCTTAGGGATTGCAAGCTCAGGACCCTGTATGCTTATCGAGATTCCCTTATCACGAGATTTATAGAAGAGAATGTCACTGATATCGTCTGATCTGTTTCTTCTCATACATGATACATTGCTTAATCAAATTGGATTAAACTTCGACTATCTTATTAAATATTATCTAGTTTTAGCTTTAAAAATTAATAAAATTTCATTTAGTATTTTTGTCACTTTCTAAATTTTTTGTTGTGAAACACAATCGACACACTAGTTTACAGTTCAGACAGTTTTGCAAAAAAATTCATCGAATGTGATTTTTTGTTCTTCGTTTGACTCAAACTGCATAAAAAATCGAATTTATTTTCTATACTTTTTACTGATCTGTCTGCGTTTAGACAGATTTTTAACTAGTTCTGTTTTTTAGTATTAAACTTCCTTACAAACTACTAGAAAGTTGACTGTAATCAAGTTTAGTTTTTTACCTTCTTGCTGGTTGATGGTGACTTATTCAGACGTACGTACAAAAGGGATATGATTCAAGCGTGTATAAGGTAAGATCATAGTTTATAGCAAAGCTATTCGTGCAAGTGCTTAAAGTTTTACCAATCTCCTGTAGTTGTATTATTTTTAAGTTAAAAAAATACTGATAGTTTGATTACGTTGATAAAGTCAAAATAGGAAGTAATTAAATAAAATGTTTAAAATCCCTGGATCTGAACCACTAAAATCCCGAAATCCCGCGATTCAGAAAAAGCTTCGGGATTACAACCCCTAAATGTAATTTATTCATTACTATGCTCACCTTGATGTCTTGGTTATATAATATGTTAACGGAATATTTACCATTGTCTTCCTTATATACGTTCTATTCTATTGCTATAAAAATGGTCTGTTATTTATTTTTAATCTCACAACATAGTGAATAGATTCTGAAAACAACAACAAACATGGGATTTTTCAATGTTAACACTGTTAACGTAGCGACAAAATTGTAGTAGCGCGTCTCCAGGATAAGAATAATTCTTTTTTACAATATCTTAAATCGCCTAATTTTAAGTTGAACCAATACTTTATCTACAATTGTATATGTTATTTAGTTTAAAAAGCGTATCTTAATAGTAACTAGTTTTCCAAGTGTAATTATCACAGCAGCAAACGCTCAAGTAACTTCTCGATAGTAAGAAGTAAATTGAATTTTGGATAACAGAATAAATATGCACATATAGTAGAACAAAGAAATATACAACACCTTTTAACATAGTGTTTTTATATTGTGTATTAATATTTAAAGATAAAGGCTTTAGAATAAATAACCGCATTAATAATTCAGTAACAAAAGTTTAGGGTAAATCACCACATTGACATAATTGTTGCTTGTTACTAGACAAAAAAAGTAACGCTGGCCAATTATATATTTATAATTTAGTAAATTTCACTCAAGAATGTAAAAAAAATATTAATAATGATACGCGTTTAACAAAAACAAAATAAGTAATATGAAACAGATGTTTTCGGTTTTTTGGTAAGTTTAGTACTTCAATAGCCACCAAAACACAATTATCCAATCTTATTAAAATAAACTTTCAAAGATTTTTACTTTTGAAAGACTTCAAACGTCATATATTAAGTATGGCAAAAAGAAGTTGCTGGTAGCACTAAGAGCTGATCAAAGAGCACATATTCTGTACAGAGACTGTAGATATTTAGTATCCTACCTTATTAATGTATTCTCTCTAGTATATTTTATCAGAGCCAGTTCTGCAGCACACTAAACCTCTTCTTCTGGCAAGTTTTCTGTATCTGGTGTGTCCATCTTGGGGAGACTACGTACAGCTGCCGTCTTTTTGATGGGTCCTTTTTTAGGGTCAATTACTCGTTGATCAGGTGAAATGTTTCTGCAATATTGATGATTTTTTTATAATTACCTTTTTTTTTGCCAAATGTAAATTAATTGAATTGAACTGAAAATAGCAAAGCAAACTGAAATATTTGTCGAAAATTCTTCCTCAGAAATCGAACAACATTTTTATAACACTAACAATAGGTATTCCTTAGTGTATCAAACGAAGATACTAAGGGAAGTACTCTAAATTAAAAATAAATATTTTCGTAGGTGTAAATAAAAAAAATTCATTGATAAAATAAGATTTCTATGAAATTTTATTTGGTTTGTTTTGAATTTAGCGCAAAGTTAGTCGAGGGCTATCTGCGTTAGCTGTCCCTAATTTAGTAGTGGTAGACTAATGGAAAGATGGCAAGTCAATACAATCAACTGCCAACTCATGGACTACTCTTTTACCAAGAAATAGTAAGTGACCATCACAATATAACGCACCCACGCCTGCAAGGTGGAGCACGTTCAGTGAGGGGGGGAGGGGGTCATGAAATGTTGTATATGCAGCCTGAAACGAATATTTCGCTCTTAACTGAACGACAATAGCAGTTTACATTAAAAAAAAAAACATTTTACTTCGTCTAGTGATTACTCATCAATAATTGTTTTTCAACCTGAGTTTAATGTTAGTTCAGTGTTAATGTGGTATTCATAACGTCATATTCTGTGAAACAATGACGATGAATGTATTAGTTAGATAATACTATCTTCTTCTTGCTCTTTTTTTTTGAAAGTATGAATTTTAAAATTCGCAAACATTTTGCATATAATATTAAATGATGATTTAACAGCTCAAGTGCTCATATTTTATAGCTTATATTTTACTTATATAAAGGTAATAAAAAATGTCCTACTCTATATATTATTTCAACTCTAACTCTTTAGGAAGAAGAATAATCAAAGATAACAAAATGTAATGGACTTTAAAAGAGGCGTTTCAAGGCCAGAATGTACTCCCCTATTTAACTAAAATTAAATGAAAATTAAGGGGACAGCACTAACTGTAGTTGCTTCTTTTTAGTATCCTTTTTTTTATATTCTTCTTAACATTAGTACTGTACAATATTTTTCTACACTTTTCCTATGGTAGGGACCGCGGTAAGCCTACGAACTTACAACGTTAAAATCCGGGATCTGTTTACCCCACGGTAAATACAGCAGATAGCCCAATGTGGCTTTGTTCTACAAACAAACAATCCTATGGTATAAAATTTTTCCTAGATCACAAATGATTATGTCAATAGTTCATGAACTTAGAAAACTTGTATACTGGGACAAAAATTAAAGTGACAAAAGTTTTTTTTTTGTTTTGTTT